TAGGTGCCATAATGTTGAGTACTACTTATAGCGACCCTATGGACAACAGAACTGAACCCTGGTCTATCTTGTGCCATTCTTACAATCTCAAAAACTCATGCCCATCGTTGAAGTCAATGTGTCAATCTACCTGGTAGATATTTGAATCTGTTTATGAAATTCTCAGTATAATCAAAAGGTCTGAACTTGCTCAGCCTTTCTTAAGCTCAAAGAACTGAAGAACAAATTTGAACCTTGAGTTGCTATAATCAAGGATGCTTTAGGCAGAATATTAAATGATCCAGAAAGTATTAAAAGAAGATGGAACGAATATACTGAGTCACTGTATCGAAAGGAATTGGCAGACACAAAAGAATTTAATGAAAAAACATATAAGCAAGAGCCTATGGTGAGGAGGGAAGAAGTTGAAGCTGCTTTGAAGGAAATAGCAAAAAATAAGGCCCCAGGAATAGATGGTATACCAATTGACGTATTTCAACTAACAGATGCTGCCCAAGATGTGCTCATTAAGTTGTGTCAAGAAATCTGGAGAACAGCCAACTGGAAGAGATCTATATTTGTTCCCATTCCAAAGAAGGGTGACCCAACAGAGTGGGGAAATTATAGAACAGTATCACTGATTTCACATGCAAGCAAGATTCAGCTGAAGATTATTCAAAAACAATCAGAACAGCACATTAGCAGAGAACTGCCAGAAGTCCAGGCTGGGTTTAGAAGGGGTCATGGTACTAGGAATATTGTAGCTAATATTAGTGGATCTTGGCTGAAAGCAGGGAATACCAGAGGAATGTCTGTGTTTCATTGATTATGCAGAGGCGTTTGACTGTGTGGATCATAACAAACTGTGGCTGACTCTGAGAAGAGTGGGAATCCCAGATCATGCTAATGTCAAACCTATACTTGGACCAAGAGGCAGTCATCAGAACAAAGCAAGGAAACACTGCATGGTTCAAAATTGGAAAGAGTGTACAGCAAGGATGTGTCCTATCTGCATACCTTTTCAACCTATATGCAGAATAAATTATCCGGAAGGCTGGGCTCTGTGAGAAATGTGTCAGGATTGGTGGAAGACCCATCAACCATCTGCATTATGCAGATGACACAACCCTGCTTGCTGAATCTGAAGAGGACCTAAGTGCTTGCTGCAGAGAGTCAAGGACTGCAACCTTCAATATGGATTGAGACTCAATGTCAAGAAGACAAAGATTCTCACCACTGGACCAATTGGCAGCATCAGGATGGATGGTGATGAGATTGAGATTGTTCACAGCTTTAGTTTGCTTGGCTCTGTAGTCAACACTCTTCACACCAGCAGCCAGGAAGTTAAAAGACATATTAAGATGGGAAAGTCTGCTGTTAGGGACCTCTCCAAAGTACTGGAGATCAATGGTGTCTCTGGAGACTAAGGTGCATTTGATACAGGCCATGGTCTTTGCGATAACTTGTTATGCATCAGAGAATTGGACGACTAGCGAGGATAGAAGGAGAATGGACGCCTTTGAGCTTTGGTGCTGGAGAAGAGTATTGAGAGTACCATGGACTGCTAAGAAAACAAACAGATTCATCCTGGAGAGGGTTAAATCAGGCAGCTCCTTGGAGACAAGGATTCTGAGGCTTCGTCTGACATACTTTGGACATGTTGTAAAGAGGGACCAGTCCTTGGAGAGGGACATCATGCTTGGGAGGGTGGAGGGCAGGCCCAGGAGAGGAAGGCCCTCTGTGAGGTGGATTGACTTAGTGACCAGGGTAATTGGGATGGGTGTGTCGGAGATAGTGCGATTGGCATAGGATAGGACAGGGCTTAGGGCTTAGAGTCACAAGCGACTCGACAGCACAAAACAATAACAACAACAAATGAAAAATAAGATTTACCTATATCTTAACATAAACATAGTAGGTATATGTTTTATATAATAAGTCTCATTGTAGTTGAGCTGGGACCACCTCATAGCTGACCATCCAGTTGGTTTTCAAAGATTGTAAATTGCACTGGAGGAGATTGCCCATGTTTCTCTCTCAGAGCAGCTGTTGGGTTCGGAGCACCTGCCTTTAGGTTGGCAGCCTGAATCTTTACATACTAGGACACCAGAGTTCATTGCAGAATGACATCATTCTATTTAAATTATAATAATACAGGAAGCTCGGTGGCTTAGTGTGGAGAAGCTGCGCTGCAGTCCCAAAGGCTCTCAGGTTACGTCCACCAGCTCCACAGGAGAAGGATGAACAATCTTTTCCCGTGCAATTAACTGCCTTTGAAAACCCACCAAAGGGCCAGCTGTGGGTCACTTCCTGCAGTCTCGAAGGAACGTCATTCAAATCTACCAGCTGCTTCTCAGGGAAAAGATGGGCAGTCTCTCCCCATTCTATGAACTGCTTCTGAAAACCTGCTGGAGGGTCAGCTGTGGGCTGATTCCAACTTGGCTGTACACAGCAATAATCAAATAATAAAGAGCTTGTTAAATATTAGATAACATCCTTTGTAAAAACCCATTCCAGATAATCACAGAACCACTGGGTAGGTTGTCAAGCATTTCTGTTAGCATCCCAGCGCCTGACGCACAGCTAGGGCCTTTTACCTAGTGCACCTCATTTGACGGCCATGAGGACCCTGAGCCAGATGTCCTTGTCCCCTTTGTATTCATTATGGAAATCGCTACCATGGGTTCACCTAATCAGCTAACACAACATACCTGGTCTGTGGAGGGAGCCTACCAACCAGTCATTAAGTAATAGGGGAAAGAACATAATACCCAAAAGAGCATGGCCGCCCCCAGCAGCATTGTCTCCTACCAGCCTAAGGAATCTCTCTCTGGAGGTTTCCTCTTCCTTTCCCCCCTCACAGACATTCACAAGCTGAACAGGAAGGGTTCCACAGTTTATATAAAACCCTAAAATTGTCAGTCACACCTATGCATAGGGAGGTTCTGGGCCACTTGAGAGGCAGAACATGCAGAAAGTTCTGCAAGAGCAGCCTTAGAAGTTCACCATAAGCTTTTTTCCCCCTAAGATATGGTCAGTAAGTTAATTAAATGACAGAACATTTGTTATTTTTTGTGTTCCAGAGTTAATGATCCCACAGTTTGTGCTGCTCCCCATTATTCTTTATATTCTTAATAGTAATGAAATTTTTAATTTTAATTGTGATTTGCATGAAAGTTTACAGAGAAGTTGGATTTTCATTCATTCATTCTTGCACGTTTTGAAAAATGATGTACTCACACAATGGCATACTATGCAGCACTGAAAAACCGTGAACTCATGAAACATTCCACAACATGGGTGACCCTGGGGGACATTATGCTGAGTGAAATATCTGTCACAAGAGGACAAATACTGCCTAACGCCATAAGCTCTTGAAGATGATCAAAGAGTCCCGCAGATGTAGATCCAGATGTTGTCTTCACCATGTACTAGCTATGTGATCTTGATCAACTTCTTCAACTTCTCATTTCTTCTTCTATCAAAGAAAACAGTCATACTTTCCTTGTGCGGTTTCTGGTAGGGCCATTGCTCAATAAATAGAGGTGCTGGGATTGTGGTTGTAGTTGTGTTGTAGTGTTATGTGTGCCTTGGGGGATGCTGTCACAGTGTTCTCTGTCAAATATTGAGGAAGAGACTAGTGCATGTATGGTAATACAAAGTCATTCTTAGGCGCTCATTGTATAATAGTGTGCTAATTTATTCAAGAGAGTACTCCATAATTACCCCTCCAATTAATCAGTTGATATGCTAGATATTCTTCAAGATTTTTGTTATGCTTAAGAGGGGGAAGAGCTGGTGTCGCAGTGGTTAAAGCATTCCCCCCCTACGAACTGAAAGGTCAACAGTTCAAGCCCACCAGGTCACTCTGTGGGAGGAAATAAAATGTGACTCTTTGCATCCGTGAGGATTTACAGCCTTGGTGCCCCTGTGGGGTAGTTCTGTTCTGTCATACTGGGAAGTGACTTAACAGCAGTTGGTTTGGTTACTTGACGATATCTTAAAACACATACTCAAACTTTGTTGTGGATTTTCATAAGAATTCAGATGTCTGCACCTTGGGTTTTCTTTGTCTCCCTCTCGTTGGTCAGGGCCTCGGTCCTGGTTCTGTGTGAGAACACCAGCTCGGCCTCCGCCTCCTGACTTGGCGGTTCCCTCTGTCTGGTGGAACTGAACTGAGTGCTCCTTGACCGGGCGCCCCAAACTGCAGGTTTCTGTGAATGTTTTTTCTTTCCTTCCTCCTTGTTGTATAATGTTCTACAATTCCTCTCTGTGCACATATTATCTGCTGGGGTGTAGGGGTGGATATCTACTCTCAAATCCTCCAGCTGTACCAAGACCAGAATAGCGTATGGGGAGCATTCTTGGTCAAGAGGTTCAGTGACCACTTTAGGGTCACCCCAGTAGTTCTGAACTGAAATTCAATTTGTTTGTTTGGCTCCTCTCTGTCTCCCCATTCCTGTTTCTTCTCTTCCCTGGCCCCACTTTTCCTCCCTTTCCAGATTTTGCCCCCAACCCCTGCCACCCCCACTGCCCTATCCCCCCATCCACACCTTTGCTGTAAGCCTGCAGTGAAGTTAGAGTGCAGTAGATTCTGTGCTCTCGCTGCATTAACAGACCCTCAGAATGGGTAGTGAAACAGGTAAGATGATGCTGCCTGGTATTGTTTCTGGTTTTGGTTTTGTAGTTTTGTGTTGTTTTTTTGTTTTTTTTTTTTGAGGGGGGTTGGTAGAAAAGGAGAGTAAGTGTTCTGCCAGGATTTCCAGTCATTTCCCATCCGACTGTGATATTTTAAGCCTGGCTGCCTCCCCCAGTAAGTTCAGCTGCTAGCTCTTGGCTCCCTCATAATGTGGCTCGGAATACAGCCTTCGGTGTGCTCAGGTTCAGCTAAAATAAGCACGGTGAGGCTATGACTGCGGTGGAGTGGGGCGTGTGTGCCCGACACCACTGTGTTTCCTGGATGCCGCGCAAATGCTAACACGTTGTTTCTGCTCTGTTCCCTCATGCCTTCCCGGACTCAGAGAGAGGTAACGTTTTCCATGTCCCCCTTCCCTGTGTCCGACGTGTCTGCAAAGCTCACCTGCTTTCTCCACGCTCTAACCCCATCATCACAGCGTCGCCGCCTTCTGGACACAGAATTTTTGTTCCATTTTGCTGTGTATGACCTTTCCATCATCATTTTTGTGTCCTGCATTTTCACATGGGATCTGGAGCAGCTCCTGGGCCCCTGCTCGGGACAGGTGGCAGGCAGAGGGCATGGGAACAGCAAGGAGGTGGTGACCCTCACTACTCAGATGGCTGAGGAAAACCAAGGTAGTGACAGGTTACAAACCGTGCCTTCTGGTTTACAGAGAGGTTTCCTACTTTCCATGGAATTAATACTAGTACTTACTAGTAAATGTTAATATTTATTAGTAAATTAATATGATTACTGCTTTAGTGTTAGACTTAATGTTAGTGCTTGTTAATACATATTATTGGTAAATCAGTAGCATTAATGTATTAGTGTTATAACTCACATTAGTGTTTCTTGGTAAATATTTATTAGTAAATTAATTATGCCAATTAAGGGATTAATACTGGTTTTTTATTAGCATCTGTTAAAACCTAGTATTTGCCAATCTGGATGGAACCTGAGGATTTCCACCAAGTGAAGGATTTTCCCATGTTCTGACTTCCCTAGAGTTTTGTAGCTAAAGTTTGGCATTACACTAATGGCCAGAAGGACCGGTACAATTTGCCCGAATATTGGAATTTTTCCTCTCCCTGGAGGACAACAAGGTGGCCAGTCTGTAATGGATCCTGCTGTGAAATGAGGCATTTATGGCTCAGGCATGTGTGTGTGCTGTGTGTGTGTGTGTGCGTGCACGCGTGCGTGCATGTGTGTACTTTTAATGGCAGCCTGTCCATCTGACCGATTTGAAACTTTAGGTTCCACTATTCTATAGCTGTCACGTAGAATAACAGACTCCCTTTTGAATGGGAGAAGGTAGTTCCAAAGTTCTCCTTGAAACTGGTGGTTGCTGCGTGGCCAAGCCAGTGACAAGGAAGGCTGTCACTTTTTGCTATTGTGGGATCGGGTGAACTCCCCTTCTCATGGGGCCCCAGTGGCCTGAATGTCAGCTATCGCTGGTCATCCTCCTCCATAATGGTGACCTACTGTCATTGCTCTGGGTTGGTACAGAAAGGGAAACAGCTTAGCTTGGTGGGTGGTACTTCCTGCAGGGTGTTTCCGGAGGGAAGGTAGGATTAGAATGTGCCCACTTGACTGAGTTTGTAATCACACGGAAGGAGGTCCCAGCTGGGTGGGGTGCATTGAGCTCTGAGCAGCTGGAATATCAAGTCTCACTCAAGCTAGTGAGGGGAGGGGTGGCTAGTTCCTACCATCCTCTGTTTATTTGGGACCTGATACTAAGAAACAAGACCGTGTCCTGGTGAGCCAGCTGATCCTTGTCTGTCTGACCAGGATCTCCTTAATGATTAATAGATGATGGATGTCAGACCCGCAGATTCCATGAAGCTATGTGTCCTCTGAAACTCCCTGTATTTTCCCGGCCAGAGGGTGCTGGGGTGCACTCCTAATGAGTTTAAAAACTTAGCAGTCTTCTTGAGCCTGCAGAGCAGAAGACGAGAGAAAAGGGGGAGTTGTTTACCAAGCTAGTGTCTGAGCTTTGCAAAATCAGCAGTGACAACATACAGTGTGTGTGCTCTTGGGTAAAAGTTAGTAGAAACAAAATTATGTCTGGACTGGTCATCTAGGAAGATGATATTTCTCATCATTTTTCCTCTCCTCTCAAACAAGACCCCCAAAGCATGGTTAGGAAAGGAGTACGCTCAAAGGTGGGTAGACACATTCTTGAACACAGGGCTCATTCTCCTCCTGCGTCCAGCACATCCTAGCACCAGTCCATGCATTGTTAGATTGTCCAACCAGGAGTGGACACCATGTTCTTACATGGACCTAATTTCCACTGGGGCAGGGGAAGGGGGTTCCAGGGTCAGTCCTCAGGTAAAGCAAAGAAGAGAGAAAATTCTTGTCATAATGGGCTAAAAATGTAATGTGTTGGCCTAAGCCCTTTGCTGTTTGTTATCCTCATTTGCTGATAGGACCTGCCCTCTGCAATAGTAACTGTTCTGGTGGCTTAAAGCTTCATAACTACATTTTAATGAATCTCATTAAATTTCATGTGAGTGCAAATACTTATTAAAACATCACTATGAGTAGTGTGCTACCATCTTGAAGCCACACAGTTCAACTCTACCAGCTGTGCCCTGGGAAGAAGATGAACAACCAACGCCCATGTGATTTATGGTCACTGAAAACCCACTGGAGGGTCAGCTATGGGCTGTTCCAGCAACAGCAACAATATGAATAAGGATATATAGTACTCACAAGTAGGAATGTCACTGGATGGCACACAAATGTGTAAGGCCCTGTCAACCAGAAGGTTAGAGGGTCCAGTCCATCCAGAGAAACCTTGGAAGAAATATCAGGCCATTTAAGCTCTGTGAAGCTCAGTTCTGTCTACACTGACATGCATAGGGTCACTCTGTTACGAATCAGAGTTGAGGCAACAACAACTGTTCCCTGTTTCAAAGTGAAATTCTTCTCACTGATGAATCTCGTTTGCAATAGTAACCACCATTTACAACTCTCCATCATGATAGAAAGAGAAAAGATTGAAATTGCCAACAATTTTGTCTTACCTAGGTCCGTAGTCGCAGACTGGGTACTAGCAGTCAGGAGATCAGAGGAAAACCTGCCATCAGGGACCTCTCCAAATTACTGAAGAGCAGTGATGTTTGTTTGAAGAGTAAGACACACCTGATTCACACCATAGTTTTTTCAGGCTGTGCCTCTGAGAGCTGAACAGTGAATAAGGATGACAGAAGGACAGTTGATACCTTTGAGTTATGATGTTGGAGAGAGTTCTGAATAGCCCATGGACTGCCAAGAGAACAAATTGTGGGGAAAGTGCACCCATAGTGTTCATGGGAGGCCAAGATTGCAAAACTTGGTCTCACATACTTTGAGCATGTTGCTAAGACAAGCTTATCCTGGAAAGGGACATCATGCTAGGAAGGGTGGAAGGTCAGTGAAGCAGAAGCAGACCCTCAGTGAGATGGACTGAGACAGTGACAGCAGCAGTGGGCTCAAATGTGTCAGAGATGATGAAGATGGCACTGGGTAGGACAAAATTCAAATCTCTTGTTCATGAGTTGTACTTCACTGGACGTCACCTAACAACATTATTTACCAAAATCCTGTCATGTTATTAGACTGCACCAGTCATCACTGAATGCTTCATTACGGGTACTTGGCCCAAACAAATATGCAAGAGAGTCTATGAAATTATGGAGGCTTCGAGAAGTCTTAGTAGAAGTACATAGTGAGAGACTGAATGGAAAGGGAGTCTTAAATAAGAGAGCAGGAAGTTAGTGCCAGCCAGGTAACCACGTAGGTGAGAAGGTCAGCTTGTTCTGTGCTGCTCCATCAGTCAAGACCATTAGACCCAAGAAGCAGACTCACATATGAAGGATCAGTCCATCACTTGGAAAAATATCGTGTGGGTCACCTAGATCAACCAAACAATTGGAAGATTTTGTGCCATTGGAAGCATTTGAGGTTCAAACTGTTATGGTTGCTCTAGAAGAGACTATGAAAAGTCAATTTGGTAAATACTGACATTTTTGTTGATGCCTCATATTCTATCTTGAGGAAATATCTTAACAATTTAGTGTTACTTTAACTGAAGTGTACTCCATGTGGGTGACTTTAACAAACAAATTTATTTTTTCATTAGTTAAGAGGCTAGAAGTCCAGATTCAATATCAAGCTCCAGTGGAGCTTCTGTCAGGTCTGGAGGAAGGTCCTGGTCTCCTTCCAACATCTGTGAGCCTGGCGTCTCATAGAGTCTTCCCCTGAGCCCAGGAGGTTCTCAGCAAGTGATGCCAATCAAAGAATGTGCTCCACTCCTGCCTCTTCTTTCTTGGTTATACTGAGGTCCCTCTACCTCTCCTCACTTCCCTTTTTTGCCTGTAAGAGAAACAGTAATGCAGGCCATGTTTCAGATAAACTCCCCATGTATCAGATAAGAACTCTGACCAAATTTAGGGTGTTACATCCCACCCTAAGTGTCCTACATCCCATTGACTGATCACACCACATCACAAACGATCCCTTTACACACTTTGATAAACACCAAACCACTGAGAAGCATGGCCCTGCTAAAGTGACATATTGTTGAGGGGAACACAGTTCAACCCATGACAAGGGGAGTAAATACACAAACTCTGTTTACCCAAAAAGAAAGAGATTGAAGAGAAAGGTACCTCCATCTTGGCTGTTTTAAAATAGACTCCATTTCAGTAAAGAATCACCGATCATTCATCACATAAAGGGTGATTAGAGAGCTGAACAGCTGAGAGCAAAAAGAGCAATCTTTTGCCTTTTTTCTCTTCCATTAAGAAATTTGAAGCTGTCAGGTAAGATGTGTTACCACTGACATTTTCCCTGGTAGAACAGGAGATTGGTCCCATGGGAGAATAATTACTGGAGGGAGTAGCAGAAGGAGAGGAAACTTTTTTTTAAGGGGGGGTAAAAAGGAATGCAAAGTCTCAGTAGATGAATGATGAAAAGTAGTTGGTTTCTGGTATTGGCTGTTAGTGTTTAAGGAACAAATCACAACTGGAAACATCGTTCTGGTTTGTTAATGAAAACTCAGCGATTCCAGTGACTGCATGGGGAGCAAGGAACCACTCGGTGTCTTTAAGCACATGAGGTTCAGCCCAGCATTTCAATGGAGTGGCCAGGGCAAAGGAGAAAGATGCTTCTTGCTGCTGAGTGTGTTAGAATCCCTCAGATAGCTGCTTGTGAGAACTTTAACAGATTTATTAATTAAGAGGCTGGAAGTCCGGATTCAAGATCAAGCTCTAACAGAGGCTCTGTCAGGTCTGGAGGAAGGTCCTGGTCTCCTTCCAGCTTCTGTGACCCTGGCATCTCATAGAGTCTTCCCCTGTATCTAGG